TACCACCCTGGTGGAGTCTGATAGATCTCCCCTTCAAGGAGCAAGTAGGATTTCATTCAACTGAAGGAAAAGTGTCATCAAAGCTCATGAGTCTTGGTGGAGTGGTTTTTTAATGTCGTACTTTTACTCCTTAAAATTTTTAGACTTAAAGAGAACCAGCTGACGTACAAAAAAAAAAACCCAAACATTTGAAACTTAAAAGTTGTTGGTCATTATATTCACATGATCTGGAAATGAGATACTACTTAGAAGCTCTGTGTGTGTGTGTGTGTACATGTACATTTTTACGTAGGTACGTACAAGCTTTGTAACTCTGACGGGTAAATACCCAACTCCAAAACATAGAAGAGAGAGCTTCTTAGTGCACAGCAGGAATCTGACCACATGCTAAACATAGCTTACAGGGACTCAGAGCTTGACATGTTCTACTACCCACTACTTGTGACTCAGGAGGTATCTTCTTTCAAGTAAATGGTGAGTCATGGGGATATGGTAGAGGTGGGAGCTTCTTTCTTACACACAGTTCCTCTTTGATTCCAGGATTAGTCAGATTTCTAGAAAAGAAAAAGCCTGGGGAAGCAGCAAACCATCCCTGGAGACCAGAAAGAAGGAAAGATGTGGAGAGATGACAGTTTAGGGGCCAGACAAGCTTGACAGCAGCCATGCGTGAGCCTCATTGTCCCCAGATGGCTCTTCATCTCAACAAAGACATTGGACAGGGTGTTCTATTTCCCTGCCTTGGAAAGGAAGAAAAAGTTATAGATTTCTTTGCCTCAAAGCCATCTTGTAGAGAAAGCAGTTGTTCCCTCCACATCAATATTTTATCAGAATCAAGACTTAGTGAGAAAATAAAAGGAAATGAGCCCTGTTCTCCCAATTGTCCAGCATGCACGTATTCCCTGGCTTCCTTCTTTCCCTGATGATACTTGACTGGGTCTTAAAATATGGTTTTTCTAAGAAGGAACTTTATGTTTTTAGAATGCTTTTTCAAAAACAGGACTTCCTCTAGTGTCAGTGTTCTTCTGACATGAAAGTGATGCTGTCAATTTTTGTCATATATACATCATTCTAAGTGGACTTTTTTTTTTTAGAGGATTTATACTGACCTACCTTTCCTTCCTACTCCATAGCACAAAATTTAAGACAGCAGGCCAGCTATTACAGCCATAGAACAGATAGAAACTAATAGTCCCACAGAGCAACTAAACTCACAACTATCTTAAGAAATATCACATCCAGGGGCGCACGTGTGGCTCAGTCAGTTAAGCCTCTGACTCTTGATTTTGGCGCAGGTCATGATCTCGGGGTCATGTGACTGAGCCTTGTGTTCCCACTGTGCTCAGCAGGGAGACTGCTTGGGGTTCTCGGCCTCTCCCTCTGCCCTCCCTTCCCCCTGCAAAATAAATAAATAAATAAAAAGGAAATACCACATCCAGCATTATTAGACCACAAGGGACATTTTGTTAGTCTCCTAAATGTTTTTAAAGCACTGTCTTTGTTTCCACAGGAAAAAATAGTTAATCAAAGAATATGTTGGTTTACATAATTTTAAGATTTGAGATTACATAAAAAGATATTTTGAGATATATTGCCGTGATAGATTAAAGTGAATTGTGGAAACTATCTCCTTTTAATTTTACTATGAATTTCAATGTTTCCATTAAAATTGTTTATTTCATTATAAAAAAATGATACAAGTGGTTCTAAATAATTAGAACCATTTGTATCATTCACATTGCACCCATGTAATTAATGAAGTTATAAATCTTAGAATACCATATTTTCACATCATTTTTCCCCATCCCATGCTAATGAAAGGATAAGAAAGAGAATGATTACAATTAATCACGACTTAGATTTGGGGGTGATGATTTGTGTTCAGAAATCAAGGTGTTTATACAGATACCTGGGGATTTCGAGTCAAACCTGGGGGTAAGCTAGTCTGTCTGATCCAACTCTGACATTCAAAGACTATCTGGAGAATACTAAACAAAACCAAGCATGTTATTTTATTTTATTTTATTTTATTTTTTTAAAGATTTTATTTATTTATTTGAAACAGAGAGAAAGAGATCACAAGTATGCAGAGAGGCAGGCATAGAGAGAGAGAGGAGAAAGCAGGCTCCCCGCTGAGCAGAGAGCCCGATGCGGGCCTCGATCCCAGGACCCTGAGATCATGACCCGAGCCGAAGGCAGAGGCTCAACCCACTGAGCCACCCAGGCGCCCCAAGCATGTTATTTTAGACATACTTGCTAACTATTGCCATTTATAAGTAACAACTTGAAACTCTATTCTGGCTTACATGTCTTTTTAAAGACTTGTTCTAAATTTATTTGTACTGTGTTCAATTATGTGAATAAAATAAGAGCTGAGAAACTCTCCCTAAGAGAATGTTTTTGCTGGAAACCCTGTCCTGCTACCTTCTGAGCTTCTTGAAAATGAAAATCTCTGTGTCTTCCAGATGACAGCCACCTTTTTGGTGGAACCAAAATAGCTCTCTCAGCTAGAGCTCTGTCAGTAAGAATTCTGACAGATATCAGATTTGGCATGCAGGAGGAAGGTGAGAAATGGTCCCATGGTAGGAGATTGGGTGAGAGCACCTGACTAGCTAAGGGAGCAAAGACAGGAGGGGTGCTTGGAAAACAGTGCCCTCCTAGACACCAGACCATGCATGAGGAAATCAATGGGCATCTCTGGAAATGACAGATAATCTTGGGGGAGAAGGGAACCATTAGCTCTTGTGGGATTTTGAAAGGGCTATGTAATGTGCATCAAGCTAGAAGGTTTCCATTTGTGAAGCAATCAGATACATTTACTTTACATGCAGAGGATTTGCTCTCCCTCTAGTGGTAGGGTAGGAGCCTTGAAGTGATATGCTGTCACTGCATAATACTGCTTCACAAAGAAAGATGTGCATTTTGCCCATAAAATGAGGATTTTCATTAGGTATCCTACTCTCTCTCATGGTGGTTTTCAAAACAACCTAACCCTTCATGTGAGGGAACTGCCTCCTGACTGTGCTGATTACCAGTGGTAAGGTAGCAAAGATGTCTCTCTCTTTTTGGCTAAAGGCTGCCTATGCTCACTTCTTAAATACGGGATTCCCCTTTCCTCTGCAGTCCTAACAAAGATGGAACCATGCTGTGATCAGAGGCAACTCTCCTGACCCCCAGTTTGGGCCAGAAAAACCTGAGGAGCTAAATGGCAAAGAGAAAGCAAACTTACCTAAGTAAAGGTGGGAAATGTGGAAACTCAGAGGAGAGGTACTTTACAGAATCTCAAGGGTGATCTGAACCTGATATAAAGGTCAATAATTAGCAATGAAGTTTGGAACGAATCTCTACCTCCACTTTACAGGCTCTGTTGTTTCTCTCCTTTTCATTTTTGGTCATGTGAAAATACTTCCAGTGTTGCAATTTGGATCAATGATAATGGATGAAAAAAATAGAAAAGATGGAAAGGTAAATAATGACATTTTATGGGAATAACTAAAATTGCCTCCATAGAGGGATTAAACTGCATAAAATATCATAATTGTACAAGAGTATTGATGGGAATAGGTCATAGGTTACAGCTGTCTAATCAACAGGTTATTGATTGATCAATAATTGAAAATCTACCAATGTGAGGTATACAGAGTCTGCAGCTTTTTCTGTGCTCCATACTCAAAGTTAGGCATCAATGATGCTTCCTTGACTTCTCTTGTGTGTCTCCAAGGCAACCAAATTAATGTTTTCCTGAAGCCTACTTCTTTCCTAGTTTCTTTGTCTCAGTGAATAATTCCACCAGCCATCCATTTGCACAAGCCAGAAATTCAGGAGTTACTTGACCCCATCTAGTCTATCCCCATCATATTCAATCCATCACCGAGTCCTCCTAAATCTTTCTCACACAGGTCAATTTCTCTTTGCCTCCACCACCATCTCCCTTTCATCATTTCCCTCCTAAACAACTACTGCTCCAAAGGGTATCTGCTTTGATCTTTGTCAAACACATTCTCCACGCTGCACTACTTCATCCAACAAATATTTTTAAGGGGCCTACTTTGTACTATGATAATACTTTGTTGAATAAGACAAATTCCCCATTCTCAAGGAGCTTGTGGAGCATAATGCGGAGAAGTAAAATAGGGTGATATAATAGAGAACGGCAGAATGGCTATTGTAAGTTGTGTGCTCAAATACAAGACATCAGTGGGAGTTTCTGAAGGGTTTGAGTTTTCAAAGCAGGAAAATAAAAGTCTGTTGGGATGATGGCATCTGCTATCAAGGCTTTTTCACATGTAAGGAAAAGTGTTTCAAATACTGAGCAAGTACAAAAAGGAAAACAACTTAAAATGCACCTGAAGTTACAATCTAGCTCTGTTTGTCTCCAAGCACTTCTGTTTAAATACAGCACTTACCACCTACATGAAAGTGTCCTATTTTTGTAACTTTTCTGTATGTCTCCTCTCCCAACAAGGCTTACATTGTACGTGAATAGTGGCCATAAACGGCTGGCTCACTCGTCAGTGCCTAAGAACTGTGCCTGGCATAAAGTAGGCATGCAAGTAAGTATTTGTTGCATTAATGCACAGATTAGCGTGTGAACCGGCAGGGAAAAGAGAAAATAACTGAGTGGACTTGGAGGCTCGGATGTCAAGTTCACTGACTTCAGCTGGAAAGGTTAACCGAGGTATAAAATCCCGGCCAGATTTCTTAGTTTTGGATCTCCGCACCACCTGCTCTCTCTCAAACTCGCCCCGTCACAAACCTCCCCAAATCCCCGCTAGGAGGAGTCACACCTCCCGACCCAGAAGCCCTCCCATTCTCTCCTCTATTTCTCCTTCCCTCCCCTCTCCGCCAGGGTTCCGGCAGCCCTGGATTCGCAATGCTCACCGGGAATAGTAGTCTTCCGGTGCGAGCCTAAGGCGTTTTATTCGTTTTTTAGAACTACGCTTCCCAGAGAGCCTTGCGGAAGAAGGAGACTGTATCACCTGACCAGGAGCCAGGAGGGGGCAATGGCGGCGCCCATGCTGTGCTGGTGGTGTTTTGGAAGGCGTTGGGTTTTAGCCTGCATTGACGGCGGTTCTCGCCACGGAAGAGGGGCTGCGATTGGGTTCACTTCCAGCAGGAAAAGGGGACAGACCTCCGTGGCTCAGCAGCCCCTCATCACCTCCCAGAAGTCAAGGAAAGGGTATATTATTTTATACCATTACTGCCCATTTAAGCGTGAGGTGGAACTGCGGGACTGGGGAGGTGAAAGCCACTACAGCACAGCTTCCGTCTAGAAGTTTTGATGAGCGGGGGGCGGGGGAAAGTTGGGCTATAACTTTCAGCCCTGAAACCTAAACGAAAGCACAAAACTAGCCCTCTATCAGCCCCTTCCTCTACACGTAAAACACTCTTCGAACAGTAGGCATATATGGGGAATTCTCGAGTGTAAAATCGCAGATCTTTTCTGGAATGTAAAACTCCACACGCAAAAGAGTGGATTCGGTAACCATACTAACGGCACTAGAAGAGGGGTCGGTGACACCAGAAGGCGGGATCTTATTTAGCTGACATTTATTTAGCGCTATTGTGGGACAGCAGTGTTCTAAAACTAGAAAGGGAGCCTTTACCTGCAAGCTCAGGGTGGTGGTGGCTTAATGTCATTACTCAGAAAACACCAAATGTCTGTGGCGGCGCTTCATGTTGTACGTGTTTCTAGACCTAGGAGGATGCAGTCAATACAAGAGATCTTCCCTCTGATTAGAGAGTTTTGCTTATTTTGTTAGATAGTCTCTCAACAGCTGTTTATACTTTATAAGACTTAAATACTGTCTTTTTAAATACAGAAACAGAAGGCACGTGTTTAGTAATCACTTTAGCCTTTGAGATAGTTAGGTTGGCATTATTTTTGCTTTTCTGTTGGAGCAACAGAGGGAAAATGTCCAGAACCATTCAGCTTCTATTCCTTTCATAAATTGGATCGTCTGACTGTAAATGGAAAGTATTTTTTTCTCTCATGTAACGAAACTGCAAAAATAGTTTCGAGTGATGTTTTAGTGAATGCAGAATTTCTGATGAGTTCTTCATTTAATTCCTCTCAATTGCCAGCGGCGCTTCCAAACTTTAAAAAGAAGGAATTAATCTTCTTACAGTACTATAGATCTAGAACTTCATGTGTTGAAATAATTGAGACAAAACCCAGCACATGTAAACAAAAATCTAGGTAATACAGAAAATTGCTTGGGAGAAGAGCAAGATAGGAACAAAGTGTAGAGGGAGTGTGTATAAACAGGCATTGTCCAGGATACATGGTTTCAGAAGGAATAAGCACACTTACACAAACCTAGAGAAAACTGTGTGTTCATACAGACCGAAAAGAGTAGGAGATGTTATTATAGCATTTAACAACTTCTTAGATTTGATAGCAATCAAGTGTAAACAGAGGAACCTGAAGGGAACTGTAAACAGAACAGAACTGTAAACTGAAAACAGAGGAACTGTAGGGAATTGAAAGTGATTTGGGGGACCAAAAAAAAAAAAAAAAAAGCCACATCTAATGGTTTAATGTTTTCATTTGCCCCAAATTCCAGGAAGATATGATTTAGTGATGATCTGTTATGTCTGTGTCATTCTGATCATTTTACGTGCAAGCCATTGTTATTTAAAATGAGTTCAAAACATGACGGAGAATACCCCTTCCTTTCTAAGTGAGATATACAATTATTCATTATTTCTCCAGTAGTAGAAGCATGATGTTTATGTTAATTCTAAAAATGTTTGTAAGATAAGCTTTCATGGGGCGCCTGGGTGGCTCCGTGGGTTAAAGCCTCTGCCTTCAGCTCAGGTCATGATCCCAGGTTCCTGGGATCGAGCCCCGCATCTGGCTCTCTGCTCATCAGGGAGCCTGCTTCCTTCTCTCTCTCTGCCTGCTTCTCTGCCTACTTGTGATTTCTCTGTCAAATAAATAAATAAGATCTTTTAAAAAAAAAAGAATAAGCTTTCATTTACTAAGTTATTAATTGATAAAGGACAGTTAATCTAGAAAATGGTGCTTTTCCTTGGAGTCAGCCAAGCAGACGTCACCTGATAGCCATTTCTAAATTGTTTCAGAATGCCATATTTTTCCTTCATCACCTTCCTCTTTATACAGTGAACTCTTCCTATGCCGTGTTGTAAATGAATTTTATTTTGCTGGTCTTGTAGATGTTCATCATGAGTTGCTTTTGATTAGGTCATCGATACAATATAACCTTTTTAAATGTAAGAACCTAAAATCTTAATAAGTTAAAAACAAATAGCAAATTAACATGTGTGGTTTAGGGTCATAGAAATTCATGCATAGTGATGGCTCTAACTACTTCTTAATGATTCTTTCTTTCTTTTTAGTGAACATGAATGGGCAGCTGTGGTAGGTTTGGAAATTCATGCCCAGATCTCTTCCAACTCTAAACTCTTCTCTGGATCTCGAGTCCACTTTGCAGCACCTCCAAATTCTTTGGTATCTTTCTTTGATGCATCTCTGCCTGGAACTCTGCCGGTAAGGTTTTTATTTAATCATATTTTCGTTAGAAAATGTTTGTTTTATTGGACATAGATATTGATTTCATGGTTTTCACATCTTGGCACAACTCTTAGAAAGTACTTGTTTGAGGGATTTGGGGTGAAGTAGGATGAACTAAATGTTTTCTAAAAACCCATCTCTGTAATGTTTCTAAGTCTGAACATCATCCATTTGTTCATATATGTATTCACTCATTTCATACACATTTTAAAATGTCTACAAAGTACCAGACACCGTGCCATGAACTAGAACATGAAGATGAGTGACAGTCCTTGCCTTTGAAGGGTTTAAAGACTAGGTAGGGAGAAATGTCTTATATTTTAAGTGTCTACTTATAAACAAATAGAATACTGGGTGATTACAGCCGTGAAGGTAATATGTAGGCATGGTTTTGGAATCCAAAGGAGGGACACCTAAGTCTGTAAGAGAAGGATTCTTGTGAGAAATTGAGATCTGGGTATGATTCGAAAAGTTGTTGAAAGAGGCAGTGTCTGAGTTATCTGAGAAGTCAGAGAGGAGTTAGGCAGATAAATGAAGGAGGAGGAGGAGTCTAGCCACAGGAGATAGCACATGATGCAGGATATTACAGTGTCAGATCAGAAATGATTGTGATTATTGAAAATTAAGTGGTCAGTAATGGAGAGAAAAAGTCAGCCATAATATGCATTGAGTTAAGTGCTCATTTATCTGCTCATTTTTACTTAAACCCACGGACTGACTACGTCCAGTGTACTTATCAGCAAGATTGCTATCATATAATTTCATATAGTTGGCTGGATTTTGAAGAAAAGGATGGAAGGAACAATGTGAATATTTGTGGCAATAAATAAATCATAGTCTGTCCAGGCCATATAACATTGACTGGGTATGGGATTTCCTCCCATCCTTGGAGGTAATGTGTATAGATGGTGGTGATTGGAAGGGGGAGGAGGAGCTTTCATGGGTGACTTCCATACTCTCTAACTTTTAAATACAAGCGAAAGCTGGTTGATTTGGCCATCGGCAGGCTTGCAGAGACAGAGATTAATTTTTCTCAGAGTCGCTCAGAGTAGAAGGTGATGGGCAGTGCCTCCAATGTGTCTGCCATACCCAGGGCTTTGGTTATATTGGGGCAGTGTCTGTATCTTGGAACTTCCTTGTTACCTGTGCTTTTTGTTGTGGAGGACTCCCATCCCTACAAACCCTATCCAGAGTCACCTTTGGTTTGTTTGTGAGTCTTTCTGGGGGAAAGACAGATAAAGGGGTGTCTATCCCTCCCTCCCTCTGGTTTAGAATATCTATCTGTGGAGAAATCATTTTTGTTTGGGGACAGTTTTTCAATTACAAATGCATGAGTTCTTTTTTGGGCAGAGATGCAGACGGAGTAGAAATGGAGTAATATCTATTCAGACAAGTGAAATGGAAAGCAATTCATCACAACACCTCCTTTTTTCCTTCTGAGTTCAAATCATTTTTTTTTTCCAACATGGTATTTCTTTATCAAGAGACTATATGTAATCTCTGAATTCCTTCTGGATTTTTCCAGCTGGGAATATAGTATCCAGCAAAGTATTTATTACAGTTCACATTTGGAAATAGATCTATTTGCAGATAGGCATGTTTTCCATAAATAGGTTCTTCAGTTGTGGCTAAGTGTGGTCGAATATTACAGACAATTCAAAACAACTAAAATGTCAACATACTTTGAAAGACTTCGAAGAATGTGCTTGCCCAGTGATAAGCATAGTAGTAAAACAGTGAAGGTGTTTGGGACATTTGAGCATTGAGAGCTTGGCTAATACTAATTAAATGGTAGTCATAGTCTAGAAATCCAGTTTTGCTTGAGCTAGGATTTGCTTTTTCTCTTCAGAGCTTACCACACACATGATTTAAGGAGCCTATTGGGTTATTCTCTTGACAGAGCTAATCTGCCTCTTCTTCTAAAATGTTTCTGCCTTTAAAAGACCTATTTTGGGGCGCCTGGGTGGCTTAGTCAGTTAATCGTCTGCTTTCAGTTCAGGTCATGATCCCAGGGTCCTGGGATCAAGACCCATACCAGGCTCTTTGCTCAGCAGGGAGCCTGCTTCTCCCTCTGCCTACCGCTCCCCCTGTGTGCTCTCTCTCTCACTCTCTCTCTGACAAGTAAATAAATAAAATATTTTTTAAAAAAGACCTATATTTAGTATGTGAGCAAATTTATACCAAAACTACCAGAAAAAAACATTGTCACTCCCATAGCACTTCAAAACCCTGTGATTTACCTATGTAAATGTATTGAAACATTTAGACAGTTGCCCTTCTCTAAGCTCCTGGGTGGTGTATTGGTGCTGTGGTCTTCTGACTCAGCATCTTGGTTGTTTTTGTACCAAAAAATGGTGACCATTTGTCAGATACACTGATAAGGAGATAGAAAAAGGCTGCCAAAAGAATTTAGGTTATAGTGTAAAGTCTTTTTCTGGAAATCACATTCATTTGCTCTGCTGGCCCATTAAAGAGAAATTATGATAATGGGTATTTTCTGTAGGCATTTGATTCTCACCTTCTTGACTTCGTCTTCATTCACTCAGCTGACACTTACTGGATGCCTGCCGTGTACTAGCCATCATACAAGCTCTAGTGACACACCTTTGAACAAGATAAAAAATAGACAAGGCTCTTGTCGTCATGAAGCATGGACAAGTTAGCAGGCACTCGCAGTACCTTTTAACAAACGTACTGGGAGTGAGAATACGGAATAGGTGCTTGAGGAGCACATAGGAGGGCATCCAACACATAGAATTTGCACAGTTGGCCAAATAAAAGTGAATAGGATGGGGCGCCTGGGTGGCTCAATGGTTAAGCAACTGCCTTCGGCTCAGGTCATGATCCCAGAGTCCCAGGATCGAGTCCTACATCGGGCTCCCAGCTCCATGGGGAGTCTGCTTCTCCCTCTGACCTTCTCCCCTCTCATGCTCTCTCTCACTCTCTCTCTCAAATAAACAAATAAAATCTTAGAAAAAGGCGGGGGGGATGATGTATGACAACCAGAGGAGAAACAGGACATGGTGTGCTCTAGGAACTGAAGGAAGTTCTGTGCACGGTAGCATAGAACTTGAGTATGGCATGGGAAGAGGTGAGGCTGTCATGGCAGGTATAATCTGTACCAGTATAACCCCATGTGCAAGGAGGTGAGAAGAGGTGAGGACAGTACAAGGTCAGCAAGTCCAACAAAGGGAGTGTTTTGAGAAGGTGGGAGTATAGTGGTGTCAGATGTTCCTGAGAGGTCAAGTAAGGTGAGGATGGGACTATTGCATTTATCAACAGGACTGTCCCTTGTCCTTTGAAAGACAGCTTCAGTGGAGTAATGGGAGTAGAAGGTACATGGTAGTAGATAGAGAGATACAGGGAGCTTACAGAAGAGGTGAGAGAGTGTGGGCAACTGTTTTAGGAGGGTTGGCTATGAAGGAAGAGTAAATGCAGGAGGTGAAAGAAGACATGGAATCAAGAGGAACATTTTTTTTAAGATTTTATTTATTTATTTGACAGAGAGAGAGAGATCACAAGTAAGCAGAGAGGCAGGCAGAGAGAGGGGGGAAGCAGGCTCCCTGCTGAGCAGAGAGCCCGATGCAGGGCTCAATCCCAGGACCCTGAGATCATGACCTGAGCTGAAGGCAGAGGCTTTAACCCCCTGAGCCCCCCAGGCACCCCAAGAGGAACATTTTTATTAGTCCAATTTTCCTTAATATTGGAGAGATCTGAGAATGCTTAAATACCTATTACTTACAGTCAACAGTAAGATACACACTTAAAAATGTGTAAAGAAGGGAAATCTCATGGCAGGTGTTCTTACTGCAATAAAATAAAGTTTTTAAAAATACTGATGAGGAACCAATGAAGAAGGGGAGTTAAAGACAGTTAGAGAGCTTGAACGTGTGTATTTTAATATGTCTTTCTCACTACCCCAAAGAAACCCCACTGAAATTATAGTAAAAGAATTTAATAGTTACAAAACCTGCATGAGAATGGGAGACCAGAGTGCATGAGAGATGGTAGATGGAAGAGGGCTGACTTAGCAGAGCAGCGTTAACTATAAAGGGACAGAAGGCCTATAGAAAGAGCCACTAGTGAGAAATGAGATGTCATGCCCTGCGTAGCCCCAGAAAGGGTCCGGATATGGGATCCTTAGGTTTTGCAGAAGGCCGGGGAGGTAGAAACAAGGGATTAATTCAGAGTCTGGATGCAGAGCAGTTAGACTTCAGGTCCCCTCCTTGACCCTCTGCCTCTGCCCCACTCCGATAGGAATCTGTAGTTTGGAGAGAAATGCAACTGGTGGCACACTCCCCCTGGGGACCTCAGGCAGAGCAAAGGCACTGGTGTCAGAGGGTGTCTGCACTGCCGACCCTGTAAGGCCTGCCCAGTGCTTTTCTTCACCTTGTTGGAGGAGCTCAAATGACCTAGTATTGCCGTCTCTCCTCTTCCTCTCCTCCAAGCAGGAATCTGCAGGGATTTGTTTGGATATTACATGTCCCTGGAGGGAAGAACTTCAGATGCTGACACCTGGGGGGTGGTCTCTAAAAACAAACAAACAAACAAACAAACTGCCTGGTTACCTGATTGTCCTGGAATGCAGGCCGTCAGTCAACAAGCCCTGGATATTACATAGACCTTTTAATCAGCATTTGAGTACCTTACTTCAAAATAGAAACCAATGGCCAAAAATCACTAGACCTTTGAGGAAGTTCTCCAACATAATGGACAGGGCCCAAAATAAAAAGACTAAAAAAGAAATAAGAAGTAACAGATAATGCATACTTTAAAAATAAAAGCTTTTATAAATATTCTCAGATAAGAGAAGGTAGTGGCATCGTTGAGATACTACTTTTTAAAAATAAAGAATCAGAACAAAAGGCTCTCAGAAATTAAAATTATGATAGCAAAAAAAAAAAAAAATCCAGGAGCGTTAGATGATAAAGTCAAGAAAATCTTCCAGGAAGTGTAACACATACACAGTGAATTGG